AATTGGCCATGATGATAATACAAATGTGCCCTTTGGAATAGAGCGCTCATCTGTTCTGGGCCATATCATCTTTACTCGAGGAGGCCAGGTACTTGTCACCCAAGGTGAAACTTGCAAGCCTTCCCTAATCCTTTTCCCCAAGGCCCTATTAAACCTACCCAGCGTATAAGGGGGGGCTTTTATTCTCCAAGGCCATTTCCATTGTACTGTCTGTCCCTGTTGCAAACAGATTGGGGCCAGTATGAGAATATTTCCATTCTTGCCATATCCTGGCTTCAAAAGCTTATCTTTAGTAGTGATTTGCAGCTGTATAGGTGCTGCAGCCCTATGCAACAGAGCTTCCACTGGAGAGGGTCTGCCCTTGCGGGGTCTCTCATTTAGAATTCTGACTGTTGGCCATAATCGCCATGCCCACCCCTTCAGCAGGGATGGGGATTGGGTAGATAGCCTTAGTCCCTTTTTTAAAAGGCCATTGTACTGTTCAGTCATTCCCACTGCCTGGGGATGATATGGCACATGTAACTTCCACTGAATGGACAACTGGGAGGCCCACCTCTGAACCCCATGTCCAGTAAAGTGGGTTCTGTTGTCACTTTCTATAACTGTAGGCCGGCCATACATAGCAGCAAGGCTATTCAGTGCCTTCACAGTGTTTACTTGGTCTGGGGCGTTACAAGGCCATATGAACAGAAGACCAGTAGCTGTATCAACAGCTGTGAAGATGTATCTGAAATTCTCCGACCTTGGCAGTGGTCCGACAAAGTCCACCTTCCATCAAGTCAGGGGCACACTTCCTCGAGTTATTTGCCCATCTGTATGGGGCATCCGCTGGGGGTGTGGACTCTCTTGAGCACATACTGGACAAGCACAACAGGCATTCACTACATCTTCCCATTTTATAGGCAGGGCCCATCTTTGAGTCGCCATCCACATGATTTTACTGCCAGCATGCTGCATTCGCCGATGTAACCACTGAGCTACATCAGTAGTTAGGGCTCTGTCCAGCCATCTTACCTTAGCCAAGGCATCGGCTTCATCATTTCCTGGACTGGCTAAGGGGAAGTGTCCTGTGACTTGGAAAAGAGTTACTTCTTTCCCATGCCCCAATTCCCATAACTCTTGCCACATGGTTGTCCCCACAGGGGTCAGTGGCATACCATCCACCATTGATACTTCCAAGTAGAAATCCAAAGGGTTAAACCTTTGTACACAGCCCAGCTGCCAGTACAGATGGTTAATGGCCCAGGCTCATTCTTTATCACCATCCATACTGCTCTCGTTCAGCCCATTGACTGCTTTGCCCTGTACAATTTTCATACCACATGGTATCTGTTAAGGGCTGGACAGCAACTGCTGTCCATGATGCTGAAGGTCCCATGCTATAGCCATCTGTATACCAAGCTTGCTCTGTGATAGGTCCCTGTCCCTCATGGAAAGGTGTAGCCTCCACCTCCGTGGGTAAGGGTTGTGTCAAAGTTTCCTCCACAACCTCTACTAGGCCTAGCACAGCTTGCAACTCTTTGGACCGAGGACTTGTTGACACAGTGCTTCTTTGTTCTATATATGCTCCCCATTTAGACAGAGCAGAGTCTGAACTATACCCATTTTAGGGTTGGTTGCCCACGTGCGCATCCAACCTAGTATGGGTATGTCGTCCTTACTAGGACTATGGCAGTTCCTGTGATAGCTTCAGTGGCTATCAAGGCAGAATACACAGCTGCTAACTGCTTTTCTATTAGGGTGTAGTACACTCCAGCACCATTCCAGAGCTGAGACCAGAATCCTACAGGTGTGTGGAATCGGTCTTGACTCTGCCACAAACCCCATCCTAACCCCTCCTGGGTTATATGTATGTCTAACTCAAATGGTTTAGTGGGGTTGGCCACTTGTAAAGCTTGTACTTGCTGTATTGCCCTTTTTGTAGCCCAGTAAGCTTGTTCTACTTCCTCAGTCCAATCCCAGAGGGCTCCTTTCTTTGTCAATGCATATAGTGGGCATGCCATTTGGGCCATATGGGGTACAAAAGCTCTCCAATACCCCAGAAGTCCCAAATATGTCTGTAGCTGAGCTACCGTTGTGGGTCGAGGGTATGCTTGTATCTTATCTATAATAGCTTCTGGGATGACCCTCGTCTTACCTGACCAGACCACTTCCAGGAATTTTACCTACAGCCCAGATCCTTGCACTTTGGCTGTGTTCATAGCCCACCCACATTGTTCCAAATGACTCAGCAGCATTGGAACTGCCTGGGTTAAATCTGCAAGAGAATCAGAGGTTAATAACACATTATCAATGTAGTGAAACATTGTAACCGTGCTGGGCCTAGTCCACTTGGCTAGGTCCTCAGCCACCAAACCATGACGGATGGTTGGGCTATGCAGATAACCTTGGGGCAATATTTGAAAGGTCCACTGTCTTCCTTCCCACGTGAAGGCAAACTGATCTTGGCTATCAGCCGAGATTGGAATGGAGAAAAAAAGCATTTGCAAAGTCCAATACATAATGATAAGTCCCCAGCTGAGTCGTCAGCTGATCCATCAATTCGTGAACTGAAAGCACAGCTGCATGCAAAGGAGGCGCTACTTTGTTCAGTTCTTAATAATCTACAGTCATTCTCCAGATACACATCAGGCTTTTTCAACGGCCATACCGGAGTATTAAATAGGCTCTGAGCTGGGCAAATAATACCAACTTTTCTCTAATTCCAATATAGTAGCACTTATCTCTGCATGTCCTCCTGGTAGGCGATACTGTTTACATTAACTACACGTCTTGGCTTGGGTAACACCTGTGGGTCAT